CCCCCCCCCCCCTCGTGGTCAACTATTTTGGCCATAAATGTAACAAGAAGTTTCTTCACCTCTCCTATTTCTCTTTCTTAAAAAGAGTATTATTGATCATAAATTAGATACAAAAATATGAATTAATAATATTTTTTTTAAAAGAATTAAGCTATTAGAATCCAACAAATGGATTCTTCTTTTAATAATATTTAGATACTCTCCTTTCATATAATATATATTATAACTCAGTAACCATTGATTTATGACTAAATAATTATAGAGGTAATATGAGAGTATTTTAATAACTCTCAAGAAATTTTTTTGATAAATTTAATAATACCTGAATTTTTTACCAATAAAATTAAAGTGAATAAATAAAACTTTTTAGGAGTAGAAAAATCCATCTACCTTAATATTCGGATATGTATATACTAAGTTTTAAATCCGACATCTTAATCTTAGCTCTCGTTTGGCTATAAATTTTAGCTTTATTTTTCAAAACATTGTTTGTTTATGGAACATGAACATGTTTTGGAGGGAAAATTTTTAAGTTCCCAAAAGCTGGTTTAGGGCAATTTTTGTTGAAATTTTTTTTCACGCACAAAATTTTAACTTTTCTTCAAATAAAATGCATGTACAAACACAACTTCCCAAAAATTATTTTTCAACAAAACTTTAAAAACTCTTTTTTCAAATTTCAATCAAATCTGTATCCAAACGCTAGCTTAATAAAATAAACGGGCCTAATTTTCGTATGACTTTGATTCATTCCGTTGCTAATACATTTTGGAGTATAGTAAATATAATTAAGAAGTTTCGTAAGTAGATTGGATCTCTATTTGATGTCTATCCCAAGTCATTTTCACATTCTAACTACTAGTTATAAAGTATAAATTGCAAACTAACCTTTGAAATAGTAGTATTACCAACTTGGGTCCCACATACGTGTTGAAAAATAGACAATTTTTTTTGCCAAATAAACCTAAATATTACCTGTTCCAATTCATTAAACAGAATATAGCATGTTATATTGTTTTCTAAGGGTTCGTTTGGCACGAGGGATAAGGACGAATTAATCTCAGGACTAAATTTAAGAAGAGTTTATCCAATGTTTGGTTAGTAGAAAAGTGCTGTATAATTAATTCCGGGATTAGTTTTTCCGGGATTGTAGTGCTTTTTATCCTCATGGAAAGGTGGAATAACTAATCCCAGAATAACTAACCCCGGAATAATTAGTCCTGGGATAATTTCTTTCCAACCAAACAACCCCTAAGACTCCAGTTTATGAGGTGTATCACTTAGATGTTTTTGTTTGTAATTAATTTGTTTCTTGAATTTTCTTCATTCATTAGAAAAATACTATACATTATAAATTATTTGCTTTTTGCATAAGATGTCCTATGATTGTGCTTCAATTAATCATGACACATGGGACAGTTAGGAATACAAAAACGTGTACAAAAGGTGTAAGTATAAAATGATTAATCTTTAATTTGTTGGCAACCACTAATCATTATTACCAAATACTAATGCACAAGTCATATCTTTGTCACTGATAGATGCAGTTATAGCAAGATAAGTGCCATGATTCAAGCGTTTGGAAAGTCTAATTTTTTTTATTTTTTATTTTTGGTTTCCACCGATATCTTCTTTACTGTCATCAGTCTGAATTACCGTCGGAAAATCCAATTTAGCGTTAATTACTTTTTACGACTGCAAATCTAGAACTCGAACCTTAGATAATAGAAGGATACTTTCCGCTCCGCCACATTTTTGGGTGGTAGGAAAAAGTCAATCATAGAAGTATGGTTACTATTAGTATAGCTAATTAATAAGTACATGAAGTTGATCAAGATGTATTGAAAAATATATATTAGCAAAAGAAAAATATATTGTTGTTTTCCTTCTTAATGGCGATGATTGAATGTTAACTACATTTGAAATTTCTATTGGACAGCGAAAATGACACGCATATATGTTGATGATTAAACTATATGAATAAGAAATATTTAGCATGTTAGGTGTATCATTTAAACTCATCATGTTTGTTTCGTTTTTTGAAAGATTAAAATTCTTAGCATTTTCTGGCAATTGTCATTGCATTTTGGCATATAATTCGCAACAAAAAATATATGTTATAAATATATATTATGGATGTTCATTTACTACTCCGTTGTAAATAAGCTTCCTGAAGAAGCTTATATATCCATATGGGACTCTGTTGTAAATATGTTTATCTATTTAGTACTCTATAAAAAATAAGCCTCCTCAAGAAGCTTATCAATTCGGTACTCCATTATGGATAAATATTACATTTCGGTAGAAGATTATCTGTATCTGGTACAGTAGTAGCTTACAAACAACTTACAAGCAGCTTACACAACAGTTTGCAGTAGTAGCTTACAACCAACGTACACAGCAGCTTGCAGTAGCAGCTTACAAGCAACTTACAAGCAGCTTACACAGCAGCTTGCAGTAGCAACTTACACAACAACTTGCTTTCTTCTATAAATAGAGGAGATTTCAGTTCATTATGATATATGAGTTGAAGTCGAATAATACATCAATCTCTCTGTCTCTATACTTGTCTTTGATTTATTACTTTACTGTCTTTATTTTATAGCAGGTTATCAGCACGAGACTCTGCCATTTTAAGCACTTACTTTGAATTTAATTTCTATTTCAGTGTTCATTTCAGATGTAAGGCGATGCTCTTACGTCCGTGGTTATATCTTGTTCATTCCGAGCATCATAAGGCAGATTATATCCTTGAGGTGGTGAGCTTTTCTTCTTGGCAACAATGATGTGGATATCAATTACGTCTGGAGTGGCCAAATTTGTGTAAAGTAATTTGAGCCTTTTGCTTATATTTTAATATCTTTATCATCGCCTGTTTGGCTATGTGTTACGTATACAATAACTATTTTGGTATTTATTTTCATCCTTATTATATTAATAAAGGGTTGCAAAGTGGATAACATTGTTAGATCCACTTAAACTCCAGCAGAGTTTGCAAGAAATATACAACCACCAGAAGTGGTTATGTTTCGCATATCTCATTGTAACTAAATTTTGGTAACCACCAGAAGTGGTATATGCCTATGACTACCAGAAGTGATAATTTAGGCTTTCTATGGTAACAATTGAGGATAAGCTAGAGAAATATTCTCTATATTACATACATGCCTCGATTTGCACTCGAAGTAGTATAATCGTAAAAGAGGTTCTAAGACATCACATAATTTAGTGTGATTAATGCATGTTCAGATAATTATGTTCCGTTCCCTGAAGGATGAGAACTTTTGATAATATTAATGCATTCCCTGAAGTGAATGTGATAATATTAATAATGCTCGTAAATATGAACGCTCTTTTGATGTAAATATATTTCAACCTCCAGAAGAGGTAATTTGATTGAGAGAATATATACTCAATATTTCGTATTTTATATTTGCTCCTGAATAAGTAACACAAATGAAATTTCCTTTTGAAGTAGGAAAATATTATGAAGAGGTATTTTCTTGTGCTTAAACAATTGTTTTATATTATTTATTTGATTATAATTTTCTCTCATGATACCAGAAGTATCTGAGCAATATTTGATAGTACAAAATCTATCAACAACTCCTGAAGAGCTAACTGTTTGTCTAGAAGACACATGAAACTAGTAATGTCCGATTAATATTAGATTGGGGATAATAAATGAAGGCTCTCAAAGAGTTTATATAAAAATATGTCATTCATATTATATGATTATGGTCAAAACATATATTGTAGTAAACCTGAAGTTTACTAATACAA